TGTGAGCAGGATACTTTTGGTAGCCTGCCAGGTTCTTCTTCAGAGTAAGAACTAGATAAGAAGATGTTGCGCGGCCGCATTCGTGGCTGCGCGCTTGTGCTTCCAGGAGCTGGGTTTTATAGTCTCTGGGTATTGACCATTGATGAAATTACACGGCTCCGGGGCAGTTGGTGGGTGTAACGCCTACATACTGGAAGATGAGGGGGGAATCTGGGTGGAGGAGGCTCCAGTCCCAATCCAAGCAGGCTTGGAGATCTACGCCCCGGGTCCTGCACACCTGTGTTCCTCTGCCGGTTCCTTCGTGCGTGAGGCTCGTCCAAACGTGTGGAGAGTGGTTTTAAGTATGGCTGTGGCTGGAACCGGAGGTCTTCAGCTGCCGGGGCTCTGCTTGGGTGGGGAGGGAGACTCAATGCACCCTCCTCCAAGGGGCCCCAGTGAGGACAGCCAGGCGCGGAGGTGGTATGTAGGCATTACACCACGGCGACATGTAATCACATATACGGCCAAGACCCAGAGACTATAAAACCCTGCTCCCAGAAGAGAACACACTTGTCTATGCCCTGGCTTATTCCTGGCTCTGTGCTCAAAGATTTCTTGAGCAGGGCAGGGGTGGAGGGTGGGTGGGAGTCTTGGAGGTGCTGGGTCAGTTGTGTGCAAGGCAAGCGCTCTAATCACTGTACTATCTCTCTGCCCTGGTAGAGTGATTTTGATGGTTTCAGATACAGCTAACGCTGGATTGGAGCACAGGTAAAGGATGATGAGATGGGAACCCGAGAGACAGTACAAGGTTTAACGTGTTTGTCTTGCAACAGGCTATCCCAGGGCTGGAGCTACAGTACAGTGGATAGGGCGTTTGCCTTGAACACAGCCGACCTAAGTTCAATCCCTGGCATCCTATATGGTCCCCCAAGCACTGCCAGGAGTAACCCCTGAGCATAGCTGGGTGTGACCCAAAAAGAAAAAAAAAAGGCTATCTCAGTTTCCATACCTGGCATAGCATGTGGCCCCCCAAACACTGCCAGAAATGATCCATGACCAAAGAGTCAGGAGTAAGTAAGCACTAACCACTGCCAGGTGTGGCCCCCCACCAAAAAAAAAGATGCTGAGGTAGTCTGGGAATTGAGAATCTAGGTTATTGGTTGGTTTTTGTTTGGGGTTTTTTTTTCGGGGGGGGGCAAGAGAGGGACACTTTGACATTCTTGGCAGTGCTCATGCGACTATGTGATGCTGGGGAGCCAACCGGGTTGGCCCTGCCCACTGTACTGTATCTCTGGCCTCAAGAATCTAGCCCATTGAATCAGATTTAGGATCCCTCCCTGCATCCCAACCAGTCACTTCTCTTGCACTTACACGCCAGCTTAAGACCCTAAAATGGCATCTTGACCACAAAATAGAATGGAGCTGTGATGGGCATTTTTTTGTTTGGGGGGTTAAGATTTGGACCACATACTGCAGTGCTCAGGGCTTCCCCGACTGCTCAAGGATCTCTCCTGGCAGGGTTTGGGGAACTATATGTTGTGCAACTGGGATCGGCTGCATACAAGGCAAGCATCTTAATTTACCCCCACACTATCTTTTGGCCCTGTACATTTTTATGTTTTGTTTTGTTTTGGGGTCATACCCGGTGATGCTCAGTGGTTACTCCAGGCTCTGCATTCAACTACTCCTGATAGTACTTGGGGGGCAATATGGGATGTTGGGGATCAAATCCAGGTTGGTCATGTGTAAAGGAAGTCCCCTGCCTGCTGTACCTGCTTGCACATTTTAAGCTGTGATGCTCACCCTAACAATGACAGTTCAGGTTACAGTACTTACTCAGCCACAGTGCTCACAGATGTTTGTACTCCTTTAATTGAGGTGCTTAGATACATGCTTGATGGGCATACAACTTATGTTTATGGTGCTAGTAGGGGTCATTGCATTACTCATACTTGCCAGAGACTTTACTTGCTGGCTGTGGCACTCATACATCATATTTTAGTAGTGGTGCTTTGGTTCAGGAATGTCAACACTCCTTTTTGTGGTGCTTGCAACACATCCTGGTTGTGATATAGTGAGTAATCATTCTGGTGACAGCTCTCCTGGTCAGATAGCAGTAGGGTTGGGCTCAAATAACAGAGATACCAAGATCATAGTGATTACAGACACTAGGGACTTGAACTCATGTCCATGTGCACACAAGACAGGAGTTCTAGGCCTCTATGCTCTCTGGGGTATCTAAATTAAATCTGGCCCATCCAACATTGATCTTGACCAAGACCTTCCCCTCCCACCCCTTTTTGAGCATGGTATCACTGTCCCCTCCCCACCTCTCAAAAAATATCTTTGGAAAGAACCTCCAATTTTGATTCTTCCATAGTAGCACTGGAATATACATGCAAACTCATATGGTCCCTTCAGTGATGAGTGCTTGAAAGCTTTTCTGCTAAGTATGCACACCAACATCTTCCCAAGACTCTATGTTTAATGATCTGTTAAGGCTTATTTTTATTTTGCAGTTGTGGAGATGGAACCCAGGCCAGTCCTCGAACACGTATGACCAGTGCTGCTTAGTCACTAGTCTACTAAATCTACTGTATAGCAGAATTCCTGCTGCCGCTTAGTGGATTTCTGTACAGACCTTATTATATCCTAGTAATATATATTATTATTTTGTTTGGGGACCACTGTAATGCTCAGTGGCTATTTCTGATGTAGTGTGGGATAGGGGGGGGGGGGGTCATTCCCAGCAACACGGAGTGTTGGGGATCTAAGGAAACCGGGCCTCTGGCTTAGCCCTTGTGCTATCTTTAACAGGGCTCAAACTCTATCATGTATTTTCTCAAATCTCTCAATTCTTACCTAGTACCTCCTCCATCTTCTCCTTTTTCTGTGGGGGTGTGGGGGGAAATACCCATCATTTCTGGCAGTGCTTGGAGAACTATATGTGGTGCTAGGAATGGAACACATATGCTCCCCTGAGCTCACCTGGAGTAATTCCTGAGTACAAACCCAGGAGCAACTCCTGAGTATCACTGGATATGACCCAAAAATGAGATGGGAGGGATGGGAAGGAGGGAGTGGGGGGGGGGGGGGAAGAGAGAGAGATAAAGGCGGGGGTAGGTCACGGTCATGGTCCTCCCATTGTTCATCGATTTGCTGGAGCAGGCCCAGTAACGTCTCCATCATGAGACTTGTTGTTACTGTGTTTGGCATATCGAGTACCTCACGGGGAGCTTGCCAGGCTCTGCTGTGCAGGCGAGATACTCTCGGTAGCTTGCCGGGCTCTCCGAGAGGGGCGGAGGAATCGAACTCGAGTCGGCCATGTTGGCTGTGTGCAAGGCAAACGCCCTACCGCTGTGCTATCGCTCGAGAGAGAGAGTGTGGAACTTAAGTCTGTTGCTGAAAAGAACCAACATAAAACAAAGTATTTTGAGGGGTAAGAGAAGTAAATGAAGAAAAATGACCAAGTTCTTCTGATTTATTTAGCATTCTTAACATGAGTACTTATCTACAAGGTCTCATGCAATCTAATATCAAATTAGAGAATTCACAACTGAGAGATGAAAGGAAGGAGAATGCAGGCAGAGGGAGGGAGGGAAGAAAAGAAGAAATGAGAGGGAGAGGAAAGGAGACACAGACAGGCTCTGAGAGAGGCTGGTTGGATAGGACAACGAACAGGGCATGAGGCAGACCTTGATTCAATCTCACCACCCACCCACCCATTATGTTCCCCCAAATCCTGCTATGAGTGATCCTTGAGAAAAGAGCCAGTAGTAAGCCCCTTAGTACCACCAGATGTGGTCCCCAACTAAAGACAAAAACAAAAATGTAGAGTCCATAAGCAGTCATCCAAAGTGCAGCTTGGACTTTGGGAGCTCCACCCTACAGTCACCCACATATCCCTACTTTGGGATGCCTAATTACTTTACTGGATTCTCTCTCCTCTTTTTTCCTAAATAAAACTTTTTTAAAAAAGAAAACCGGGGACAGAGTTATAGAACAGTGGGGGAGGGCATTTATCTTGCATGTGAGCTGGAGTGATAGCACAGCGGGTAGGGCGTTTGCCTTGCACACATCCGACCTGGGTTCGATTCTTCCGCCCCTCTCGGAGAGCCCAGCAAGCTACCGAGAGTATCTCGCCCACACGGCAAAGCCTGGCAAGCTCCCTGTGGTGTATCTGATATGCCAAAAACAGTAACAAGTCTCACAATCTGTTTTGAGAGGTTACTGGTGCTTGCTTGAGCAAATCGATGAACAACGGGAGGACAGGACAGCGGCCAACCAGGGTTCTATCTGTGGCATCCATATGGTCCCCCGAGCACTGCCAGGAGTGATTTCTAAGTGCAGAGCCAGGAGAAACCCCGAGCATTGTCAGGTGTGACCCCAGAAGTCAAATAATCAATAAATTCTGTTCTTTAAAAAAAGAAAGAAAAACTGCTTCTTTAAAAGACAAGACAGTAGGGTGGGGGTGGCGGAAGGGATTAAGTGGGGACATTGGTGGTGGGAAATGTATATTGGTGGAGGAATGGGTGTTCATTGTATGACTAACTCAATCATGAAAGCTTTGTTAACTATCTCACAGTGATTCAATAAAAAAAGACAAATTTCTTAACATTTTGCCATTGAGTATGGTATTCACTCATGACACTTATATTTGCCCTCTACAAGATTAATAAAGGTCCATTTATTCCTAACTATTCCCATTTTTACATATGAGAAAACTGATACACCAAAGAGGTAACGTAGTTTGAGATTTCATGGCTGGAAAAGGCAGACCTACAATTTGAGAAAAGACAGTTTGTTGCCAGAATTTTTGTTCTTAACCAAATACCTAAAAATAGTTCTTAGCAATCAAAAAAAAAAAAAATCACCTAACTTTCACTGTGTTGAGTATGAGTTGGCCTGTAGAGACAACTTTTGGGCCCTGAATTGAGAGACTGTTTAACCTGTGGGCTGGGAATTCTTTGTTCCATGATGCAGTGATGACCTCAGAGTAAACTGCCACTAAGCTAAGGAAAATGGACAGGCTGTTTGAAAGCCTGCTCGAGGTTGAGGACACGAAGCTTCTCTGGGAGCAGCTGACCCATGCCCTGGTCTGTAGACACTGTGGCAGCAACTGCCTCCAGAGTCCAGGAAACCTGGTAACACTATTCTTGTTCATGGTTTGGCAGATTCGGAGATGGTGGCACGTTGGGAAGTGGCAACAACTTCAGCTCTGGTACTCTGGGAACATGCTTCAAGGCAAGGTGGGTGTCAGACAGGGATGAATGACTTTTGGTATGTATGAATTCAGGTGTGAAATCATTAAATAATGTGACCCTAAGTGAATAACAACAATCTCTAAATGTGAAACAGCTTGAGTAATCACTGACACCTATTTAAAGTCAGATGAAGGATCACTGGCCTTAGAGGTATGATTGTGGAAGGAACACTCTTCTAAAATACTAATAATACCCAGTTATTGTGGATAACTGCTGGCTCAGGTGTGGGGCCAGAGAGCTGTTTTACTCTGGATATGAACAGAGTCTGAAGGCTTAGTGCTTGATAGAATCTTTTTCCATTCCCAGGGTCTATCATTTCTGTATCAGATGGCTTTTCTTGATCACTTGTGGAAACAAAAGTCAGAAGAGGAAGATGAGGAAGAAGAGGAAGAGGAAAAAGAGGAATCTGTGTATCTACTGAAGCCAGGCTGTCTACCCAAAGAAAATCCTGTTGGACAACAGGCCACCATAGTCCCATCCCAGTCATTCTGTGGTTCTGAAGGCCTCCACAAGGGCACAAGGACACCAAAACAAGTACTAATGCAGACCCCAAGTAGATCCTTCCCCACCTTTCAGACCCTTATCAACCTACCTGTAAGGTATAAGACAACACCTGGGAGCCATCTACTGCAGAGAAAAAGCCAGCTCTACTGGGGTCTCCCCTCACTACACAGTGAATCCTTGGAGGCCATCTTTCTAAGCTCAGAAGGCTCCTCTCCCAGGAAGTTGTCTGTTAGTCCTTCTGTTTTATTCAACAAACTTATCACCATGTCTAGTTCCAACTTGCTTTCACAGTACTGCTCCCTAACCCAGCTTCCAAACCTCAAAGATGTAGAAGGGACAGCCCCTGATCCTCAGCAACTCTCCTCACCATCTTTCCCTCCTGTCCCATTACTTCCTCTTCATCTTAAACTCTATCCCACGGACCACAAAGAAGTCCTATGTGTCACTGAGCAGAGAAGGGTTCCAAGGGTCTCTGAGGATCAAGTCTTGCACTCACAGCTTAACCTTCAAACAACCACACCCTCCAAGCTCCCCTATTCATCTGAGGTCTCCTGGGAGGTTACACGTGATCCAAGTCTCCAACATATTCCAGATCTACTCTCTGCCTCTCTGTTCTATCCCTCTAGTCATCTGGAAACCCTGACCAGGCTTCAGTCCCCAAGGAAAACAAAGGAACAAAGTGAGAATCCCAAAGTCTCCAATCCACCAAGATTAGCTCCCAGCTCATTTACAAATTCATGGCCAGAATTCCAGGGAACTACTTCTATAAAAGGTCTATTTGGATCTCATGTTCTCTGGGAAACCAAAAGGCAAAATGACAATCATCAGATGGTTGGGCCTCCAATCCTGGCCTCTTGCCAACCTATAGCCCCCATTTTGGAACCTCAAGAAACTAGTCACCTGGGAATTCCTCCTCCTACAGATGAGACTAGGTGGACAAGCATAGGACATACAGAAAATCCTCAAACCCCAGAGTCCCCACTGCTAGCCCAATGTTATCATCTGGATTTTCTGTCAGAACTCAACAACATCAGCCCCGAAGGCAGACTTTTTGCACCTATAGAATCCTGGGGGCACAGAGAGAACCCTCAGTCTTCTGAGTCTCCATTACCAGCCCCAGCTCCTCCAAACCTCCAGTCTGGAGTTCAGGAAGACAGCCCCCTGGGAGATTCAACTGGGTGTAAATCCCAGGAAGCATGCAGAGAAAACTCAGCAATCCCCTGGGACTTTGAGCCCCCACCCTTGGACCTCAACCTCAGGTTCTCTACAAATAGGCCTGTATGTTCCCCTTTAGGAACTGAGACTCTATTAAAGGGCATGCAGAGTCAAAAAAATGTTTGGATCTCTGCAAACTCAGTTTCACCTCCCAGTCTTCTCTCAGTCCCCACACTGGACTCCCTAGAAAAGATCCCCAAGAATCTGTTTGAGTCCAAAGCTTTACAGAAGACCGAGGGGCAGAGAGAGAACCTCTGGACCTTGGAGTCCTCAGCACCTAGCCACAACCTACCTCTAGCTCCTGTCCTGGAACCCCCCAGAATCAACCCCATGGGAGGTCTCCCTAAATCAGATACTGCATGGAAGGGCTATGAACATTTTAGGAATTCCTGGGCTTGTCAGCTTCCAACTCTGGCTTTCAGTTCACCCCCAGTTCTTGTACTGGAGTCCCCCTCAATTAGACCAATGGGGATTCAGTTTGATTCTGATAGATGTGGAGTTACACATAGAAAAAATTCTTGTGCCTCTGAGCCTCTTGCTTCTAATTTACCCCAACATCCATATGCCACGCCCTTGGGACTATCAGATTTTGAGCCTGTTTCAGGAGACACGGAGCAGAAAGAAATCTGTTATGTACGTATGTCCCAATTGTGCGGCCTCAGTCCAACCTATAACACTATGTCAAAGTTTCACAGAAGTGAGTCTACTGGAGATAAACCCAACCATAAGCTTGAGGGGCCAGCAGTGGAACAGGAGAACTGGGTTCCAGTCCCCAACTCATTTTCTGCTACTTCATCAAATGCAGGTGACAATGACCTTGGGTTTATGGGGAAGAATGCACGATTCAAAGAATTTCCCCTGAGTCCCAGTCCTCCGACAGTCAATTCCCTGCAGTCTCCCTGGTCTCCCATTCCTGAGGTTCTAAGAATTGAACCTGACCAGAGTGACCCACCCAAGAGAGGACTACCCCCAGGAGCTAAGATGGAGGCTTTACCCTCCCAGGGAGATGGTCCACAGGTGCCCAAACTGCTTAGGATCCAAGCTTGGCATTGGAGTAGACAGATGGAACTAAGGCTGCAGAAACTGCATCAAAGACCTATGTCTAGATTCCCTGACTCGAGTCGACTTGTCAGCCCCCCTGCCCTGGGCTCAACGCTAGGAACCTGTGGACTTCCTTCCTGGTCCCCACAGCAGACTCATCCCCTCATCCTACACCCCCACTCTCCAAGTTACCAATCCTTGCAAAGTCAGAGCACAGGAACTCAGCCTGTCCAGGTTTCTCCATGTCTTCACTCTCTCATCTCTCCTCAAGCTCACGTGGAAGGGCATGGAAGAGCAGAAAAGGAACTTCAGACAGGGGAAAAAACGAGAGGAAAGGCAACAGCTGAGGTGTCACCTCAGGGGCCAGTTCACAAGAAGGCTGGAAAGAACTGCCAGGGCTTGGGAAAGCTCTCAAACCTTGAGGTGCCAACATCAAGCAAGAGAAAAGACAAAGCTTCAGTACAATCTCTAGCCCAAGAGAGAGAGAACCCCAAGAAAACCATAGCAAGAGATCACAGGGGAGGAGATGCAGGATTAGGGTCACCCAGAATTACAGGGAAGAGGCACACAACCCAGACCTCTGTCTGCAGACCTTCCCCAAGATATTCACACAGACACCAGTGCTGTCAATACACTGCTTTCCTCCAGCAGCTTCACTCCAAGGCTACAGGTCCCCAAGATCAGCGAGGGGCAAAGACGGAAGCTGGTGACATTCTGACCCCTTGGCATTGTAAGTTCTGCCCTCAGGCCCACATGGAGAAGCAGGTGGTCTCCACACATCAGACTGCCTTTAGCAGGGGTCTTCAAAGGGTGTTAGCCAAGTTTGTGGGTACCCACAGACCGCTGCACAACAAACTCAGGAAGAGTAGTTCTAGCACATAGTATCTCTAAAGCCACAGTAGTCTGTTAGGGGTGAAGAATAAAGAAAACCAATAAACTAGCTGAAATAGATAAATCCCATTGTTTTTTTTTTTTTGGAGTCTGGGGCGCTAAGAAGGAATTATGGCTGCTCTTGTATCCCATCTCAGGGCAAGACCCAGTGGAATTTAGGATTCTTGAAGGTTCACCTCTTTTTCAGTCCTTCAGATTGTGAAATCTACAACCCTTATTCAACATAAAACCAAGACAGCCCAGTACTTTCAGGGATCATTTCTACAGTTCATTACTAGAAGTTTCTCTAATCTTGTAGCGCACCCGAAACCACAAGGAGGAGCCAGAGCATCCTCTCCTGAGGATGAAGACTGTTCTAGGTCTGTTGCAGCTGCCTTTTACCACTGATGGTTGTGTCTCACTAGGTTAAAATCATGAATTTATTAAGGCTGCACTTCATTTTGTAGATGTTTTTGTACACAGGATTCCTTTTTCCTCCCCTGACTTCAAGAGGCTACCCACATTCCTTAGCTAATCCTCTTCCTTCATTTTCAAAACTAGCAAAAGTCAACTTCTCTCTTACTGCCTCCCTCTTCCACCTTTTTGTTGTGATGGTCACACCCAGTGCTCTGGAGGCCCCTGATATGAAGCCCAAAGCCCTACCACATGAGCCCCACCCTCTTCTACTTAAAAGGACACACATTCTATTGCCATAACCAGATCAAACTGGCTATTAAACAAAATCAACCCTTCATTATGAAAAATGTCTCAGATTTCAGGAGTTAAAATGAGGTTATTTTGGGGCCAGAGTGATAGTACAGGGGTTGAGGTATTTGCCTTAAACACAGGTAATTCTTTTGGCAAGCCCCTTAAGCCCCTGTACTATGTCTGTGGCCCAGAAACTTCTGACACTTATATATACAGGAAACTGACATATATATATATATATATGTATATATATATATGATTTGAAATGTAAAATTGCAGATGAAAATCTAATTCTTCTCTTCTATTGCCTAAGAGATGTACAAATTTCACCATTTTTGCGTTATCTTGAATCAAGCAAGGATTACTTTTCCCATTTTTTGATGCCAGGGATTGAAGTCAGGGCCTCATCATGACATCATGAGAAGCAATCATATCCCACCTCCACGTACCTTATTATGGAATATAGAGGTTGGAGAGAGAGCACAGTGGGTAAGGTACTCTCCTTGTATAAGGCTGACCCTGGATGAATTTCAGGCATCATCCATGATCCATCCCAAATACTGCCAGAAGTAATCCCTGAGCACAGAGCCAGAAGTAACTAACCTGAGGACATCGAGGTATGGCCAATACCCCCCAGTTCCCTCACCCCAAATACCAAAACACTGGTCCAGCCAGTGATAGTGGTGGCTCGCCTTATAAGAGGCCAGCCCAGGTTTGATTACCAGCACGCCATATGGTCCCCGAGCCTCACCAGGTGGTGATCCCAAAGCATAAAAGCAGAGCCAGGAGTAAATCTTGAGCACCACCAGGTGTGGCTCCCCCAAACAAAACAAAAACATCAGTCATGCCCCAAGGGTAGAGCATTTGTCTTGCATGTGTGAGATCCTGGGTTCGATTCCTGGCACCTCATGATCCGCAAACACTGATTAGAACAACCCTGCCATGCACTAAGAATGTCCCAAAGCCTAAACCAAAAACTGAATACGGCTCCATATTAAAAACAGAAACACACCACACACACTCTACATCATAAGCCTTTTTAACCAGGCGTGGCACGCCCCCCCCACCCCCTCACAAAAAAAAGTGAAAAGTAAAAAAGAAAAAGTTAGAAGGCTTAGTTTGTTTTTGCCAGTGTATCTTGCTGGTCTTTGTGATTTTAATCACTACTATGAATTAAAAATTCTTTTTTGTTGTTGTTGTTTGTTTCTGTCATACCAGGTGATGCTCAGGGATTACTCCTGGCTCTGGCTCTGCACTCAACAATCACTCCTGGTGGTGTCCAGGGTACCATAAGTAATGTCGAGGACTGAACCAGTTTGGTTGTGTGCAAAGCAAGCGCCTTTCCCACTGTATTAACCCTCTAGCCCCAGAAATTCATCTTTTGTTAACATTTATCCTTTAAGAAGTGGTTAGCTACACTGAGATTGTATTTTAATTTTCTTGGAATTAAAGTAACTCTAATCTTCCCATGAGGAAAAAAGAGAAGGCATCTTCCCTGGTTTAACTATGCAGCCTTCTAAGCTATAAATTGACAATAGATGTAAACTGACTATAATCAATGACAATAGTCATTGATACTGCTTTCTATTCTACAAAGTACTGTTAATGATTTGATTAAGAAACTTGAGGTGCCATAGAACCAAGTACCTTGTCCAATGCTACACTGTTATAAGCTCAAGTGCAAGAACTAAAAAAAGGTCTGCTCTTCATCTTTTGTCTTTGGGGCACACCTTGCAGTGCTCAGGGCTTACTCTTGGCTCTGTGCTCAAGATGACCAATCAAACCTGGTTAAGGCCATGTGCAAGTGTCTCACCCACTGTACTTTCTCTCCAGCCCAATTTTTCCCCAATTGTAGAGTTCCAGCTATCTTCTCAATTTATACTTTTGGTTTTGGAGCCACACGAAACAGTGGTCAGGACTTACTCAAGCTCTCTGTTCAGAGATCACTCCTGGCAGTGGTCAAGGGACCAAGCGCAATGACAGAGATTAAACTTCGGTAGGCCATGTACAAGGCAAGCACTTTAGTACCTTTACTATCTCTCTGGTCCCTATTTATACATTTTGTTCCACAAGTGAAAGCAAAACATAATTCCACCTCAAGTTTTGATCACATCTCAACTAATTATCTAAACAAACTTTCTGAGAAAATGCCACTTGTCTTCTGTTATGTTTCCATAGCTTGAGTCTTACTCTAAAAAATTCTTTTCTTTATCCCTTACTAAGGATATAAAGTTTCAGCGGTATAAGAGTGATCATGTTCAGAATATAAAGACTAAAGCTGCAGTCAGATAGTACAGAGGTTAATCAAGTGGTTGGCGCTGGAGGGACAGTACAATGGGTAGGGTATTTGCCCAGCACGCGGCAAACTTGGGTTCGATCCCTGGCATCCCATATGGTCCCCCGAGCACTGCCAGGAATAATTCCTCAGTGTAGAGCCAGGAGTAACCCCTGAGCATCAAAGCCAAAACAAGACCCAAAAAAAAAGTGCACTTGTCATGCAGTCAACCCTGGTCCAATACCTAGGCATACATGGTCTTCCAAGATGCCAATCTGAAAGCTCCAAGCATTGCCAGTTGCAATTTGAAGGTCCCAAGCATTTTCAAGCCAAGCACCAATGGAGTGGCCTGGATAATCCCTGGCAATGCAGGACCCTTGCACTGAACTGCCAGCCAGGTTGGCCAAGAATCATTCAGATACTTAAATAATAGGAAATCCAAAGATAATAACTATAGAAAACTGGAGTACATTCAAACCTGCACACAAACTGGAGATGCCCTAACCAGCCAATGTTTTTACAGACACAGACTAGAGGTTGGTACAAGTACTAACAATACAAATTTGATTCCATGGAGATTTTTTCTTGGCACCATAAAGCCTCTCTGGGCATCTGATAATAACACTATGTGAGAGGATATCCTATAGCTAAACAAAATGGTGCAATCATCTCAAAAACTGAACAAGGTAAAGGATGCTTAGTTTAGGAAAAAACACATCCAATACTAGAATTTTATATAAGGAAAATGCCATTTTTTCTTTTATAAAACAAATTACATAAAGGTGGACATAATTGTTATAGAGATCCTTAACCAGAGCATGAATGTTTAAGATTTCTATCGTTAAACAAAGATCTTTCTGCACTCCAAAATTTTTGGAGGACACCCCAAATCAGTCCTTGGTCAGAAAGTGAGGCGCTGCAGGACTAGCCTTACCAAGCACATCAAATGTAGGTGGAGTTTGCCACATTCTCCACCACCGGAGTTCCCTCAGAGCGATCCCCATCTACTGCAGTCGGTGGGGTGAAGTATCATTACCATAACTGACGTCAATCATGATGAAGGTGAAGCGGGTGTAATCTTCAAGGATTTCACATTTGGAAGAGTGCCTGGGTAGTGAGAAGTAGCCCAAGGCCCTTCCCAGGAAAAGAAGCAGGCACAGGGGCCAGGACTCAGGCTCCATTTTGACCCAACATTTATTGTCCTTTTACAACATGTCATTTTTGGTTTAGAAACTGCTTGTGATTAGTTTTCCAACATTAACTCAAAAGCATGTAAAATGAAATCAACCTACTCTCTATATAAACACCCAGCAACTGTGGCCCTTCACCCTCCTGCCCAGGTTGAGTAGGAGGAAGAAGGGGGGGTACAGGCAGCATTGAGTGAAGTGCAGATGCCTACTGTGGGAATGGCAGTAGAGCCTTGGTTCAAACCCACAGGTTCCCTGCACTGCCCCAACCTACAACAGAAATGGCGTAGGTACAAGGCCCAATTCCCTGTTGGTAATTCACTCTGCTTCCCAAATGAAAATCGCTTTTATTTTATCGCTTTTGTATATTTTTGCAACAGAAACCCCCTGTCCAAAGTCTGACTGTAGCTGAACTGTTCAGACTGAGGAATGGAGCAGGCCGTGGGCGCACCCCCTGGTCCCTCCTGGGCGAGCGCCCCCACCCTCAGGGAACAAGGTCCAGCCAGGCCAAGCTGGCTACCACCACTTAGCCATACAGGTCATCATCATTGTCTTCTGTGTACACACTGCCACCTGTGCCACCTCCACTGCCCTGACTGGGGCCAGCTCCACCCTGGTTTCCTGAAGGGAATCTGTGTGCACAAAAGCAGAGCAAAAAAAAAAAAAAAAAAAGTTAAGACAGAACCTACTGGTCCAGAGAGAGAATACAGGAAGCAAATAGCTGGTCTTACATGTGACTGTACCTCACATGGTCCCCTGAGCACCACCCAGAGTGTTCCCTGATTATCATCAGTGTGGCCCAACCCCCAAAAGACAGAACTCACTTGGGCTCAATAGGCTAAGCAATACTTTACATACTGGAGACTCAGGTTGTTTCCCAGAACATTGTCAGAAGTGACCATAACCACAGAGCTGGGACTATATCTTTAAGCACCACTGGGTGATGCCACCTCCCCATCCCCAAGACATAATCCACTAAGGATTTTCACAATCACCCATTCTCCTTCTTAGGATACCCACTTTTCTTAGTTGTAAAGTTTTGTAAGATAACGTAAGCACTCCCCATAAGTTACCTGAAGCTGCCAAAGCCCCGACTTTGCTGAAGAGTCTGAGCAAACATCTCGTACTTCCGAATGTCATTGTCACTAACAGAACGGCGGGCAAAACGCATGGCTTCCTCAAAGTGATCTCGGCGAATCTCAGGCACTGGATCATCTTCTTCTACCTCCTATAGAGAAAACACAATCAGGGTCAAGACAAGGTCTCCTTAGATTCAGTCCCTGATCTTCCCAACGCCA